GCCTTTATTGGAGACTCGATTGTAATAATAACTGCCGTTACTCATTCCAATTGAATTCTCATTCCTCGTCATTTTAACTTATCTATCCTTTTAAAATATTTCTTTTTAATTACATACATCTGTCAAAATCGGAAACGATAAGAACAAACGATAAAATCAAACTAATAAAACAGAAATTTAAATAAAAAATATGCCTATTGTTCGCTACTAATTAACACAACTCGGGTATTTTTACCATTTATACAATAAATAAATAGCAGGTAAATATTATAAAACAAATTATTTAACTCCATTTTTCCATTCTTACAGTTAATTATAATTCATAATATTACGTTATAATAAGCTAAATTAATTTATATATTATTGTTCTTTGTTCAACTGTATGATTAAAAATACGCACAAGCCTGTGTCATACGATTTACTATCAAAATTCTAGTCATTTATATAATTTAACTCTGAATTTATTAATAAAAAAAAATTATATTTAATTTAGTCAAGTCGAAATTTATAATTAATAGACATTAAACGAGAAAAAGTAAATTCAAGTTTTCTCGTTTCGGCTCATTAATTATGGAGAATTCTAAGAAAAATAAAAGAAAAAAAAAATTATTTCTATTCACGAAACGAATTTACTTGCCCACTTTACCTTTTCTCCTCCTTTTAATTTAATCTATAATATTTTAAATCAAATTCTACGGATAAATTTCTCTCCTGTTGCTTGCAATGACGTAAGCTATGTAAAAATCCGTGGAGTAGAACGACAAAATATTTAGTTTCTGACAAGCCGAATGACAAAAAATAAATTGCCAAATATTCCTGAATATTCGCTGGTTGAATGGTATATTTTTAAAGCATTAGACTAATTCAAAGCAGCCAATATCTAATATTATAAGAAACCGAATCTCTTAGTACATTCTGTTATATAATAGGGCATCCATCGAGGCAGAAAGCCGAATATCCGGACATAAGATATTTAATTATTTATATATTACAATCTTTTTTCGCTAGTTAAAATTCCAACGTGGGATATTAAGCGCCCGAAAATTTAGGAATTTTTATCGTTACGGTGTAAAATATTCGTCAAATCGAAATCGAATATTGTAACTTGGACTGATAATGGATTTCTTAACCTATTAAATATCTGGATATTCACATTTAAAGTCAAATATGAAGACTACTTTTACAGTGAGATATTCATCAGCCGAAATCGAATATCCCTAACATGGATATACTAAAAGATATCAATCAAGTAGATCAGATAGGATGAAAAATATTCACCAATCAAATGTTTAAATCCTGAAGCTAATGAATATTTATTCTGATTTAGGATATTCAACAAGAGAAAAGAAATATATCCTATCATTTTAACAAACTGGTCTATTTATTAATGTAAAAAAATGAATATAATAAAGGCCTACTCTAACTTATTCCAGGCCTTCAATTAATGGTTTTCTTATAAAATAACTGATAAATGTGGCTTAAAAACGAGTGCTGGTACAGCATTTAGTGTTTGTATACGTCAGATCCAACTTAATCCGGGATTAATCTCGAGTATAAAGTCATTTAGATCTACGTTTATTAATTACATAATTTACTTTTTTAAAACCTCGAAAATAAATATATAAACAAGTAATACAGATCTGTGCAGAGCCATAAACTTACTACGACCCTCTCCGTAGACAAATCTTAGAGAGATAGATGGCCTCGCTTCATTAAAATCACGAGTCTAGTGACGCTAATCCATCAATAATTACGTGACTCGGTACCGATGTCACGAAAGGCACAGTCACGTGATTTTGTCCATTTTGGCGTGCTTCCAGGTAATTATAATCGGAGACGTTCTATTAGGATAGCCTGAAAAATTCCAAGGGGCCTCATACTGTTAAATTTGCAGATCGGTTCCATTCGAGAGGCTTTCACTTTCGAACGTAGACGTATAAAATCCTATAATTTAATCCTAGACGGTCGATTATGGTCACCTCCGCAATTATATATGGCATTTAAGTCATTGCATCACTTCTAATCGTTTTCCCGAGACGTCTGCACGATTATTATTAATTCTTTTCTAGAATTTAACAGACAAAAATATCTGTAATTTACCAACGAAATTTTATAGATTTAAACGCCGTTTTGTTTAAATAAATGCTAACTTTTCGATACTTTTCCAGACCGGAACTGGTGTAGGATTTTCGAGATAACCTCTAACAAAAGTAGACCAATTACGTACTGTATTTATAATTAAGGATCACTATCCAGGAAGAAAAAGTTAAAGGTAGGTTACGGCTCCGTTCTCGAAACAGCTGTTGTCTACTCTTCTGTAAAGGAAGTTACGGTTGTTCCCCTATCACGACTTCACTCATACTGTTCTGATGTTTATTAAACAACGGAAACAAAGAGAAGATGTATCTGTATTCTTTTTTTCCCTACAAAAGAATATTTTAAAAAGTTTAAGGCTTTAAAATTATAGTTTTGTTTAATAAAACAGTAGAAAGTAACTAAAAAACATAACCCCCTCTCATTTACAATCTAAACCCTTTCTTTTCCTCTAATTTTGTAAAGTAACAGAGCAGAACGTCCCTAATTAGTAATGAAATTTGTGAACACTCTTTGATTGTTACAACCGTCTTAAAATATGAAAGCAATTCGCTTGTCTTCGGCATAAATTTTATTGGAGTTATAAAACAATTCCACCCGTTTTGTTACTCTCGGTTAGCAAAACTAAGGTGGAAAATTAGGGCTTTGAAGTTATAATTTTTATTGCCATAATTTTTATTCCATAATTTTTATTGGAGTTATAAAACAATTCCACCCGTTTTGTTACTTTCGGTTAGCAAAACTAAGATGGAAAATTAAGGCTTTGTAGTTATTTTTGTGTGTTTTTTTTTTAATTTTCTAACCGTCTTTATCTCTCTGTTACGACCCAGAATATTCAGGAAACTATCCTGGCTATTTACTTTTTTCCTAAGTGATTTTTATAATAAACAGACATATAAAGACACGGTCGTTAGGCTAAAATACGATCTAGTAATAAAGGACGTGGATATTATAAGGCCTTTAACCTGTCCGTCTCGCGGGGTCGTAGAGGTTAAGAATGGTTTCCCGGTGTGTTACGTGGGCCTTATCTTACGAGAACGATCCAGTTTCGAATCGAAATTACGAAGACCCCGGTGAGATACCTGCCGAGACTTTTATAATTGCGTTGGTTGGACAACAGGGCAGATTCCATCTTGCTTCTCGTTTGCTTCTTAATGTGAGATAACGAGTGTTTCCGAGATACAATTAATAAGCAAGAAGAAAGTTTCCCAGACGAGGGCTTTAAACAGTTTGTCAAGTGTGAAGCGTAGTGAGCCATTTCCTGCGCCAAGTAAGAAACCGTAAAAGCGACCAACCTGCCCTTCCTGTCGTGTCAGCGCAGACAGGATATCCCAAAACCTTACAAAATTCCACTTCTTCCCTGGCGTTTGGGTGCTTACCAAATGCTGCCTGGGTCGTGACGTACCGTAATAGCCAGAGGGGAGCAGAAGGGATTTAAATCCGCCGTTAATTGGCTTTGGGGGTAAGCATGGAGCAGGTGTTTTTTTGCCAATCGCTTTCGATCATCGACGCCGAGTCGAGCCAGTCGGAGCCATACGTTGATGACAAGAGCATTTTCGTGTTAAAATCGACAGGCGACGAGCCATCTGCCAACAGGGTAACCACAAACCATATCCTTTCTTGGCTACAATTTGACGGTCCAGATAATGTGTTGATGGAAAAGCAAACAAAGGCCCTGTATCTGTAACATCTTTTATTTGCTTAATATTTTGATAAAATTACAAAGAAAAGTAACAAAGTGGTACCGTTCATTCGCTTCCATATTCTAATCATACTCCTTCTATAGGGTCTGTTCCATATCGATCGTTTTTGTTTCAGTTTAATTAAATAACTAATGTAGGCCTTCTATTATTTAAGCTTCATTGCTTCGTTTCGCTAACAACACAATCGAAAATTTCGATTATGAACAATAATTTTCAGAATTAACGTTAAAATTTCGAGTTTAAGTTTAGATTTTCACTCAATTTAGCTCTATTTATAAGCTGTTATTATCGTTTAAATTCATGAAAAAAAATTAATCCATCTGTGAATGAATCGAAAATAAATGGTGGCCTTTCAAACTTCTTTTCACTAAAGCTTCATTTTTAGTAATATAAATTATTCATAGGCCTTCAAAAAATAACAATTTTATCATTTTTCTGTTATAACTCTTATTAAAATATCCGAAAATCGCTTTATTTTCAAACATTTTAATTATAATATAGAATAAATTAAGGTTTTGTAGCTTGCTTTATCGTTGAAATGCTTGTAAAGCATCATTACTTCTTAATGTAATAGTCGAGTAGGGCCTATCTTCTGACTAAGATATCTTAGTATTGCACTTATTTTTTAATCTTTACCCAAATGGAAAAGAAAGATAGGTTATATTGAGATATTGTGTAGAATATTTGGTTATATATCACAGTAAGAAATAGGCAAATGGGTATGGTCCCATTAACCGTCTAATTTATGTTCATTCGGCTCCAAGATAAAAATTATTTCGAGGCCTCCTAAATAGTGATGTGTTATTTATTTATATAAAGATATATATATATTTTTTGTTTATTTTTATTTTAAAATGTTTTTAATTTTTAATATTTTAAATATTTTTAAAATTTACAATTTTAGTGAAAACAAGTTTATATCGTATGAATTATAAGTTTATAATCTGCACTCGAAGCCAAGACGCGGGGAAGCGACATATACGTCACAGCTGATCTCATCAGCGGACAAGTACCAAAATGAGTTGATACAAAAAATATTAAAGAAAAAATGAAAAAGATTTTATAAATAATTTCCCCCTTTCTTTATATTTAATACTTACAAGAAGGTGTATCAGTAGAATCTCGAGTTTGGTCAGAAGTTGCGGGTTTCTCTTCAGACGAGGAATTTTTTCCAATGGAAGATATCGCTAGAATAAGAAATTGTTTCAGACTAGGATCGAAATGTTCTAAATTGAGTAATAAAATAAAATGTTATCCCAAGGCACCAATCACTGCATGCGTCATGTTGGCCTCACGCAGAGATGAGTGCCATATAATAAAACACCTAGATGCGGTACTCACGACATTCGTAAATAGGACAGCACACGCCTTTCAAATAAACGGGCCTACATTGAATTTTATCAGGATGCGTGGGGCAATCGGTGCTCCAACAAATGATGGAACCCTTGAAACAGAAGCAATTATCGCATGGTGATTGAGTTTTTACAGATTCTCCATGCCGATAAATTCGATCTTCTAAAGCGCACGAACTTTCTGGACCTTTACCTATAAGTTATAATGTAATTATAAAATATTTGCATTGTGAAAAAGAGCCAACATCCAAAAACAAATAGGTAATATCTTACCTAGAACGCATACAACGAAACTGAATAATAAGACGACTGTTGCTGCCATCTAGCAGAGTAAAATACGTTTAACAGAGTAACGGATCTAAACGTATGGTGAAGCCGATGGAAATTTGCAACCTTTAACGAAGCAATTAAAGAAGTTAGAATGAGAATAAGATAATACGAATTGTGTCATACATAAATATTGTCAATATGACGGTTAATGGACACGATAAGCGGGTCATTGTCGGTCAGTGGGGCATCTCTTCTTCCTCATTCCTATATCCGGGGGAAAGATAAAATATTTGTTCACAGAAATTTTCAGAAGAGTCAAAAGTTACGAAAACTTGGCGAGTGCATCTTTAAAAAAATGCACAAGAGCCAAATTTTGTCTTTTGCTGCGACAGAATGTGGACATGATCTAAGTATTTAAACCTGAGATGATTTGGAAATCTTACCTTTTCGGCGGATGTTTTCGTTGTGAAGAGTTCTTGTCCCGAAGTACCTAGATTAGAAGGGGGAGTGACTCAGTCCCTCATAAAAACTTGTTTGCATCGCTTCCGAGATGGCCTTTTATAACAACAAACTAGTATTTAGACTTTCTTGTTTGCTTTAATTTTCAAATTCATCAACCCCACACAACCGAAAGGGTCTCGGCTAAAACTATAGGTTGAGGAACATTTTAGAAATTTATTGACATTTTTCCCATGAGGTCTTTGTTTTATGAAGTCACCTCATCGTCTTCCTTTTGTCGTTTAGTCCGCTTCCGCATTATTTGACTATTCGAGCGAGAAATGAACAAAAGGACATTTCCAATTCTATTGATGACGTGTGAAATGTCTTCCTAATCATTCCCTTATCATTAATTGATAAAATTATAGTTTTTCTCCAAAATTTTTCTTTATTATAATTCAAAAAAAGGTTTTTTTCGTTACAAAAATTATACTTTAGTCTAACAGACTTTCGTGCATGAACACTTTTTTAAAATCTTATATATTTTTTTGTTTTTTGCAAAAGTTTAATCTTACTTCCTGGAACAACTTCAGAATACAAAGATTTGTTTCTTTTTTATGTATTTTAATGACATTCCCACTAAAAAACTGAATTCAACAATATTAAAACATCTAAGAAATTCCAATTGACTATACAAAAGTTTAAAGTTTGAAAATATTAATAAATTAAAATCAGTTCCAGTTACAGTAATCCTAGAACTGTTCATTATTACAAAATTTAAAGAATTTTTTTATGTTTATTTAATTATTCATTAAAAGTTATATAACTATTCATAGAATTTAATATACATTTTTCAGAATTAAAATCATAAAATAATATTTTCATTAATTGCTTGTTATATTAGTAAAGATGGAAATTAAATTATAAGTGAAGCGATCATGATTAAAAATTTAATATATTAAAATATAAAAAATATTCTAAATTACTTCGTGATAATTTAATATTAATTTCTATTAAACAGTTACGAAAAAGAGATAACTGCATTACAAAATAGGGTGTAGACTACCCTTTCAAGGGAAGCTGTGGCAACGAATATCCACATTTCAAATTTGCCAATTTGGTGGACGGCAATCTTTTGTAGGATTCCAAAAGTCTTCTAGTTTATTATAAACTTTAGGAATTTTTTTAGGATTGTTTAAAGTTTCGCACATTCTACAAACATGCAAAGATGGAGAACCTAAGTAACCGTGTTCGTTTGAAACGCGATATTCTTTTTTCCATTCAAATAATTTATTATAAGCAGTTTCATTAGAAGACAGATATAGTAAAGTTTTGGATAATTCTAGTGGAGAAGCAAAATCGTCTACGTGCAGAAAAGAATTCGGCGGGCACAATTTCACGTAGTCCTCTTTGGGTGCACCCATAACCACAGGTACAGCATTCTTGTGATAAGCATTCCACCAGAGTTTTTCCGTAATGTATTCCCTGCAGTCTGAATTTTCGAATGCTAGATAAAATTTATAATTTTTCATCGGTTCACAATCTTTCGTAAAATGTCCAGGGCACTTCAAATTTCCGCATCCTCCGTACACATCTACCTGCAAGTATTTTTTTAACTCGCGGACGTAATGCCACCTACGATTTTGACCTCCACAATTACTCCCCAAAATTGACACCAAGCGGTGGTTCTGCTTGAAAAAATTTGGCAACGGCGGTAAGTTTCGACGTTCTTCATCCGTTAACCTAATCGTCCTTCCGTAAGGAGCAGGAACATCCGAATCTTCACGATAAGTCATGCTCCAGTTAAAATACCCGTTATAATCCTTCATCGAATACTTTCGAGTAAGAAGAAAGGTGTGCAATGGAGATTCATCCGTAAAAAATATCCATATTTGATTAGGTAATCGCAATTTAGGTAAAGTATGGGGTCCTTTTGTTTGATGCAAGTGAAACATAACAGCATCACTCCTGCTCAAGTCTTCGTGATGAATTGTCACTTCACAGTTTCTCACAGAGCAATTTAAGAAAGGATCGAGCTCAGTCTTCCCGTAAGAATAGAAAAATCTCCTCAGCATCCTCTTTCCATGTTCCCATATCAAAATAGTATAATTTTTATTCACAGTTTCTTCTGAAGAATGGAAAGGAACATTCACCTTTTCTGACGAATATAAAAGCAAATATAAAATAGAACCGATGGTTAAAAAAACGACCAAATATCTAAAATAGAACTTGCTTCTAAAGGTAGTAACTTTCATCATTTCGCCATTTTTCACCTAAAAAAAATAATAATATATAAACAAAATTATTACAGGGTATAGAAAAAATTTACGCTATTAAAACACAGGAAACAACCGTCCTTCAAAAGTGCATTAAATACGAGTTATTTCATTGATATGTATATTTAAATATTACGTAAATGTATTTTTCTAGAACATTACGTACAGTACACGGTGTGTAAGAAGAAACGCAATACGGGATTAAAGGGGATAGCACAATAGGCTATAGTGTTCTCGCATAGACTCAATAAAAAACACGTATATGTGGACCCGACCTTGTCGATAACTTTAAAAAATTCATTTCCAATTAAGTAACGTTACGGGGTAATATTTTCCGTTTCTAATATTAAATTAAAACAAAAAGCCATCTAACAGATAAAAATCGAAACATCGCTTAGCAGTTTAAAATGATCGGAGTAAATTTTTTGGTGTTATTTCCAGGTTAAATGAAAGGCTAGGAACCGAGAACAGTGAAAAGATAACGGAGAATCGATTACATATGGCGTTGCCAACAATTCCAGGCAACTTTAACCGGCATGTCTTATTGATCTAGTTTTGTCTACACTATTATTTAATAATATACGTATATTTTTTTAGTTTTAATTTTAAAAATACTTCACGTACCTGTTCGTTAGACAGCAACACAACCAGACATCATAAATTAGAATAATGGATATCACACAACGGAAGGCCCGATGACGTCGACTGTGTACTACTGCCCAATGCGCAGCTCAATTGCGCAAACGATAGTTCACACATTAATTAACCTTTCGCGCGCCGGACGGACTTTCGTTAATTAAATATTAATTGCGTTGTTTTTTTTTTAAATTATGTTTAAATGTGAAATTATTACATATTCCTCTTATATAAATCTTTGAATTTTTAAGAAAATAATTCGAAAAAATACATTTAAAAATATATATTTAATCATTTACTGCACGATCGTAAATCGTTTATTTTTTCCAAGAAACATGACTGCTTAGACCCAGGGTCGAATGATCACGAATTATTGACAATTAAACTTAACGTCATGTCCATTTTAGTTCCGTTTTTCATTAAGGTTTTTGTTACAATCTTAATCTTGCAGCCGAAAGAGAGAGAGAGAGAAAATGGTGATTAACAGGAAAGAAGCCTTTACACACAATAAGTTTTTCATTTGGCTTCGGGGCATTTCTTTTATCTATCAAATTATGGTTAACTATCAATTATACGAGTTTTTTTTTTTTAACGAATTTATATATCGTGCCAGTAGATTTTTGACTTCTTTTATGACCAGTTAAGTTTTAAAGGAAAATTTAGGTTACATTAATAAAAACACCTTTTATAAGTTCACAGGACAATGACGTTTTGGTTGGAAAAAAAGAATAATCATTTCGCTTTGCTATTTTGGTTCGGCTATTTTAACCTTTTTCTAAAAACCAGGAAACTTTTAATGTTTAAAATATAACCAATTAAGGCATAATCCTTCGGAAATATTTCGGTTTTATGTTAAATGTATCATAAACCAAAGGAAATACTAAAAAATTAGTAGCATAATTAGAATAAAATATTATAATTCTTTATTTTTATGTGAGCTGTGGTGTTTGTGTTTAAAATCATGTATTTTTTTTTACAGTTTGAAACTGCTTTTTTAAAAATAATTTTTATGCTTCAGAGGCTGAGAAACAGAATCATGTAACCATTTTACAGATGTTTTAAAAAAAAATAAAGAGCATTGATCTGCCAAATTTATTCCTTGAATTAAAACATTATTTAAAGATACACAACTTATTTTGAAGTAGAAAATTTTATGATAAAATCTATATAAAATTTCAACTTTATAAATTTTTTAAAATCTTAGTTAAAAAAAAATCTAGTTTTTACATTTGATTAATGAAACATGTCTTTAGGTTAAAACTTATCTAGGCAAAATATTTAGTTGTATTATATTTAATGATTCTTATTGTTTTTGAATTTTCAGACAAATAAATTAGGAGTAGAGAATAAAACATAAAAAATTAATTGCTATTTGTATTATTACACTAATTTAAAAGAAATATACAAGTTTAAAAAGTTTAGTAAAAATATAATAAATATGAGTTTTAAAATAAAAAATTTATTAAATTAGATCAGGAATAGAATTAATGTATTTATTTACAAATCAATAAATCTTTTTTAAGTAGTACACATTGCTTCAGACTTAACATTTGGTTGCGTTTCCACTTTTCTTGTTTTAAGCTGAACGTAATTACCCATGCCTGCAGCAGCTTCTGCTTCTTCCTGAGAATATGGTTCTACTTCTAAAGCTTTCAGCCTAAAAGAAAAATAAAAATGTTACAATTAAATCTGAACAATTTTTTAAATGTAGAATGACTTCATATAATTTATAATTCTAAATATCATTGCTTTTAAATTCCTTTACAGTTTCTACAGATAATTAAAATTTATGAAAAATTTAAAATAAACATTTGAGAATTTAAATATGATTTTATACAGAAGTAAATGTAAATACTGTAATATTTTTGAATTTTTATACATTTATGAAAATTTGATAAATTTAAAAACTAACTTTCTTTAGAATTTATAATATATATAAATTTTATGAACAGGATTCCTACTCAAATTTTTGTTTTAAATTCCCTGACACTCACATCCCTTACAGTGATGGCACATTGACAAAAAAAAAAAAAAAAAAAAAAAAAGCATTTGACTTACTAAGCACATATGCTATTGCTTCTTCCACTTGTTAATTAGTTATTTTTTCTAATTAACAGTTACATATTTTTTATAATTGCTGAATTATTAAAATTAAAAATCAAATGTTTTATTAAATTAAAGTAGTTTATCCTGTTATTAATTCACAACCATAAATCTATGTGGCTTTGAAAAAAAAAGAGAGAGCTATTATTTATTATTCATTAACAAATCCTGTATAATCTAGTACTGTACAAAAATATATATTTATTAAATTTATCCCTTAGTAAATTTCCTGAACTTTAAAGATTATTAATAAACTGGAAAAAAATAGGAATTGTTTTGTTTTATAATCAAAATTATTAAAATAAAGAACATATACAGTATTAGCATTTAAATTAAAATTATTTATCACTTTTTTTTTTAAATCAGTTCATTAACATTTGCCCTCAAATTGTGTGTGTAAATGATAATTGTGAGGAATTCGAAGAGAGTTAAAATATTTTTAAAAAATTTTTAATCAATGTTAGATTATTAAGAGTATTACAGACTTTTTCTCAAATTCATAATACTGCATAAGTTACATACTAAACTGAAACTCTTTAATATATATATGCACACAATAACACCTTTCATACTTATTCCAGCAACTTTATTCAGAAATATGAACATTTTCCATCACCTTTAGTGGCCCTCTTCAGGGAAACATTCTGTAGATATGATTTTTTCAAAAAACATTCTACATTAACAGATAACTGTTTCTATCTTTTAAATGATTGATAAATGGAACAGCTTGTAACCTGAATACTGCATAATTAATACAGCTGTTTTAAAATTTACAAATGACAATTGATATTGCCTTATATTTGGGACAGTTTGATCCTCTGGCATTTCACAATGCTCTCCTTTCTGTTGCATTTTATAACAGTTCTTCACATATATAATCAATATTAGGTTTTAAAATTAATTTGCACTATCAGTAAAAGAAGTAAATGTCTTTTAATACAGTCGACCCCCCTATAACGTGCGTTCCTATAACGGAAATTCCTATAACGTAGCGAAAAAATTGTGGCAACATTCATATAAAGGAGCTCCTAAAACGTCGTTTCGCGACAAGATTGATAGAATCTGGACCAATAGTGGATGAGCAGCCGAACTACTTTCCTCCGCCCTGCGCCACGCTACGGAGCGGCTAAATTGAGTTTGCTATCGTCTGCACAGTATTATATATAAATTAGGTACTGTACATATAATTATATATAAATTAGGTACTGTATATATAATTATATATATGCTTTCCGCCGCCTGGCGCCATGCTACGGAGAGTTTAGGCTAGTAAGTTGAGTTTATTATCGTCTGTACAGTATGTAAATTAGGTACTGTAAGTCTAATACAGCACTAATTTTATACATTTCTTACGAAAGAAACATTTCTTATTCAACGGCCATAAAAATTATTTATATTAATGATGTCTCCAAAGGTCAAGTTATTTTTCTGCGAAAAATTCGTTATCAGAAATCGCGGCTGTCGTTTCGTGTGCTGTTCCGCGACGAAAACAAGCTTTGAGCAACGGCGTAGTCGAACGGTACACACTCGGTAAGTAATCCTATAATTTTTTGTTTATAGCATAGTTTATACAGATTATTCCCAAAAAATTATACGTGTTTTGGAAATGTTGAGTGGAATTAGTCTAGAATCGGTTAATTTTATAGAAGAAAACCTTTCAAACAGCCTTAGTCTGTAAACTTCACACCTATCAGGCTGCGACTGGCTCATGTATTTAATTATTCCTACAACGTAAAATTCGATTAACGTGGAACGTATCTAAGCGTTATAGATGTAATTGTATGAATATTAAACAAAATAAAAAAAATAAAAAATACACAAAGTGATTACAATTTTAAGGTCTGATTTTGAGTGATTTTAAAATATCATCTTACAACAGATTAATAAGTCTTATATGTTTCAGAAATTGTCAACAAAAAGCATAGGAGTTATCAAGCTTCAAACAGAGTGAACAAAATCATGTCCCTCCCACACAAACATCCATACATATAGAAATTACCCTTGAATATTTGCATTTCTCAACATTTCAAGGTGTCCTAAGTAAAAAAAATGTAAAAATCTAGGGAGGGGGCATTTTTTGCCAGATTGCCACACTTTCCCTCTGTTTAACAACTGGGAAAGTAAAGATGCAGGATTATAACATCTTAATTTTGGTACTTCAGCATTTCATTTCTGTAATAATTTTTCAAAGAATCACATACTGTACAAAATTTAAAAGCTGTCATACTTATTAAACTGCAATTTGAAAAAATTGTAGATTTATAAATTCCCAATGTCATCTTTATTCTATTATAGTCAATTAAGACCTATCTTATTAAAAAAAAAATTCCACTGTCATCTGTCTTTCCTTAATCTTGAGAATGGAGTTAGATAGATGAAAGACGAAACCAGATATTGTAACCTTAGGAGAAGGTCCTGATTAACTATATATGAACTTTTGATGCAAACCAAAAGTCATGTTATTTCAATTTGAAAATTTTTCCCCAAAAGGTGTTAGACAGATGATCAGCACAACTTTGCTGTTAAAGGAAAAGTATGATGTACAGAAGCAAGCCACTACTAATGAGGTGGGGAGCATATTTTTTAAATTAAAAAATATAATTAAAAAATTTCAACCCAGCATTACCTAAAACAAGCAATTATTTATTGTGACATCATCACAATGTCATTATAAATAACTGCTTGTTTTAGGTAAAAATTTATTAATAATTATATCCAATTCCATACTATATTTTTATTTATAAATTAAACTAAAATTCCTATATTTTTTTCATATCTATTACATATACTATTCATTTATCTAAAAAAAAACTATGGAAGTCTACAGAACTTTCTCTCTTTAAGAAAAGTTTAATATAATTTAATAATATGCCAGGCAAAAGTATTTAATATTTAATTATTAACAGAGCACATTATAGCTTGATTTAATCCAGCAGATTATTTGCCTTAATCAAAAATCAAGCTAATAGATGTTTATATTTGTAAAATAATTTCAGCACTATTAGCTTAATTCTTTTTTATAGTTTCTAAATATGAATTTTATCTTGACAAACTAATTTCTTACATTTAGTAAATGCTTTCTTATTGTGGAAATTAATTTAATAACATGATGATTGAATTTATAAATCCAATAAAAATAATTTTTATTTCATAAGAAAGTTTCTATCTACATGGATTTTTGTCAAGCACTAAATATTTTATATATAAAATATTATTTTACAAAGCTTTTAAAGTCAATACAAATATGAAACTAACTTTTATTGTCAAAAATGCTAAAGAACTATAATTAAAAGAATTAATTAGTTCTTACAGAGCTATAATTTTAAAAGTAGCCTTTATGAAGACATATCTTAACTCTATGTAATACGTCTCTGTAATCCAACAAATGGTAGACGGACTCTCAGCAAATTTTCAGTTAGGAACTACAATTTTATTCTCAAAATTGACAAATGCATTTCAGGTTGGCACAGTACATTACAACCCCTCCTCAGTGTCTTGAAGATAAAAAATTGTGCATGGGAAACCAACACAACTATAACACCAACACATGTTATACATCAATACATCATAGAGGTATTGTACAAATTATTGCAATTGATTAAAAGAAAGGTGCTAAGGTTTTACTTGGTGTTTTTTTGTAAATTATTGTTCATAAACTGTTTATATCACTATATATTTTAACATGATGAGGTATTAAACACTTTAAGTGCTCTTTGAGCTTGTACGATACCTCTACAATGTATTGATGTATAACATGTGTTGGTGTTATAGTTGTGTTGGTTTCCCATGCACAATTTTTTATCTTCAAGACACTGAGGAGGGGTTGTAATGTACTGTGCCAACCAGAAATGCATTTGTCAATTTTGAGAATAAAATTGTAGTTCCAAACTGAAAATTTGCTGTGAGTCCGTCTACCATTTGTTGGATTACAGAGACGTATTACATAGAGATCAAATATACAGCAATCCAGTTATATAATAACATATCTTAACATTGATAAAGTCATTAAATCATAATGTATAGCTTTAAAAATATTCCTGTAGGTAATTGTAAAATTGAAAATTAATTTATATTCTGTACACATAGAGGTATTGCTTTTAAAATTTTTTTTTCTTAAATAGCTTTGTAATTTGTGAAAATATAGTGAAAATAATATTTTCACAAATTTTGAAGATAAAGTCAGAAACTGGATAGATATGAAAAAATTATAATAAAGAAATAAGTAATTTTCAGAGTCAATGTTTTCTTCTATTCATTCAAGCATGAACAGAAGAACATTGCTGTAAGACTGATCATAATCAAGGCAACTGATAAAAGCGTCTTATGATAAGTTTCCTAAACATCATGTGCTCTTCAATCAATATAATTACATGTTACCTTTTGAAGAGGTCAATAATAAAAATAAACTACTATCAACTTTTAAAATCATTCATAATTTTATTTAAATAATTCAAAAATATATTTTTTTTGAATATAAAATATAATTGTTTTTTCTTTCTTGAATTACAAATTATGGCTGTCTTTTTATTAAGTATTATTTTATGCAAATCACCA